AAATTCTTCTCCTTCCTGCTTCCACTTTAACAAAACGCAGGAAAGACAGAAGACTTCAGAACCAACTATGAGCAAAGCAAGAAAAACACAAAGGTCTACACTGACAGCAGACAAGCTAACACGTTAGCAAACTGAGCAAGCCAGAGGTAATTATTATTATATTACATTTGGTTTCACAGAGGTATTACTTTGTTGCTTAACAACGACACGTGTTTATGCTGCATATTAAAATTATTATTTTAGAAAATTAAAGAGACCTATTACAGATGTTAATGTCTGTGTCACTGCCACACTTACAGGAAGTAACAACAACAACTGTGTGATAATGATGGTAAATAGTTCACAACCCAACTATGCTAAACGCAGAGTGATTAACACTCAGAGCGCTGTCTGTAAATATTACAAACTTAGCACTGAATAGCACTTACTGAATAATGAATAGATGAGTGATAAAAACTTCAAGCGCTGCAGGTCCCTGGTAGTTTGAATTTTTCCTGTTTTATGTTGAGCAAAAGATTATTCCATGTTTGTCACAGCAGAGCTTACTCAGCTTATCAACCGGCCATTCTTCTATAGCTTAACCCAATAACTGTATTTGTTAATGCTACATAAAGATGTCCTTTATAAGCTCTACGTTGAAATAAATATAGAAGCTAAAGAAGCAGTTATATCTCACTCTGGTTTTGTACTCGTGAGGAATTAATGCACAAAGTACGATATTCGAATGTTTTGTTTAAATGAATGGTCAAACTTGATTTTTGGCCAGTTTTGACAGCCACCAAATAAAATCAATGACCTAAATTCACACAGAGCAGCCACAGGCCCGAGCACTGCCCACGGAGCAGCTCCACTAGAGCGTGTTTGGTTTAAGTGATTTGCTTGAGGATGCCTCGGATATTCTGCTGAAGAATGGGTGAACATTATGCAGTCATTCATGTGGTTTCTCCTCTTACTGTGGGTATGTGCATGCTGTCTGCATCCACTTTAAAAAAAAACATACTTGCTGTGCTACAATTTTAAGCTTTCATGAGGATAAAAGTTGTGTTGTGTAAAACAGGCTCTAAAATCCTGTTTTTGCCACATTGCGAAAAAGCGTTATAAGAAAAAAGGTGGAGATACTTGTGCTTAGAGTTACATTTCAGAGTGATAAAACTATCTCAAAATCAATGTTTGCATTTGATACAGCCATCAGTCATGTTGCTATGGCTGCAAAAAAAAAGGACAAAGGTGACTTTTCATGGTAAAAACAGCAATTTTCAAAAGTTAGTTAACCAATAATGAGTTACATGGAAATTTGGTTTGATATGTAAACCTGCAAGTGATACTTTTTTTTTTTTTTAAATACAACAGCGCTGCTAAAAATGTTTGAATTTAATCCAGAGTACTGCTGCACAATTAAAAATAAATTAAAAAAAATAAAATAATAAATCCTAAATACTGGTCAAAAATGCAGGAAAATAGATTTACAAGTTTCCATTTCTTTGTACTTTAATTATAATTTAACTGAAAAAAACACAGAATAACTTAAATAACTAAACTAGTGTACATGGGAAGGAGAACTAGGAATTCGAATACATGAGCAGTCTTGGGAACAGGCTATAGCGAGGGTACGATCTTCCACCTCCTGTGCTCGTCTTGGACTTATTCAATTTAAGGTCATACACAGGGTGCATTTCTCTAAGTCTAGACTTTCTGAATTGTATCCAGAAGTGGAAAATAAATGTGATAAATGCCATGGTTCTCCTTGTCACCTTAGCCACATGTTTTTTCTGTGTCCTGAGCTACAAAGTTTCTGGACAGGGTATTTTGCTATTATGT